ATCAAGCTTGGACATAACAAACTTCTCGCAATTAGAGCATTACAATATCATATTTCCGAGATATATTGCAGTTTCTTGGCGAGAAAAGGACGTGTGCAAAATTTCAGATCGATACGGATCAGACGGACGCAGCTAGTCAAGCTAATCATATACTTATATAAATGTTATAGGATATGCGATGTTTCCTTTATGAATGTTACAAACTAATATACCCTGTTCAGGGTTTAATTAAATTAAAATATTTATTTTACTATAAACCAAGTGCTTTCATATATAGATCCTCATTTTGTTTTCAAAGCTTTTCCCAAATGAAAATATGAATTCTGTATCCCAATGCATAAAATTAGTATAATTTTATTTCAAGAGAAACGTTGGCGAATGTTTTTGGAAGTAGACTGGCAAGTCAGTGTTGATAACTTTGTTAACAAAAACATTAAGCTTAGAAATAAGTTTCAGTAAACGTATATACAATATGATATAGTATATAGTGCATGAAATATATTTTAATAGCAGTACAATGATCCATTACTCATATATTTCCGGCTGGTCTTTACACATAGGAAAATTTTTAGATAATTATCAAAAAAAAAACTAATCTCTAAATGAAGGGAATGTGAAGTATACAAATAATATACTTCCGGTACTATTGTACTTTTACTGATTCAGTTTTTGTTAGTAATGACAAACATTTTGAAACTAAACTTTTTTTTAATTTTTAAGCCCTGCTCAAAATAAGTCTAACAGCACCCGCGAATGAGAATTTTTAAAAATTTTCGATACGAAAAATACAATATTTATAAACAAACTATGTATATTAAATTTTGCATAAACAAAATCCACTTTCCAGTTTCTGTTTTTTATTATTTTTTTGACATCTGTTACTTTATCTACACTTCGTTTAGTTTGCCATTTTATAATGAAAAGGCTTATTCCGGAATAAGCGCATCGGACGTTCGATAAATGGGCCTAAAGCTACCGATAACGATTTTCACAAGTATATTATGAATGTGAAGGAAACTTTTAGAGAGCGGATTATCTCGCATCATAGGCCTGGGTCGTGGACTTCAGAAGAGGATTGATGTTTTAGAAGAGAATATTCGGCACGTTATTATGGACACACGACCTCGATTGCCGCGAAAAGTGGTCGAAAATTGAGCCTCTCGGTTGAAATTTATTCGAGCCGGGCCACTTGCCCGTATCATTTTTAGAGTAAAGCTAAATTCTTGGCCATAACGTTAACTTATATGCATATAATTTTTCCATATGTCTAAAGAAATGCTCTTGACATGATTTTAAATACACTTAAGTAGAATAAAAATGTTAAAGTTAGAAAATATTTGGAGCACTTTGTTGCAAATATCCGTAGTGGAAAGAGAGCGAGATATTACCTACTATTTTACTTTCTTTAAAGTTAACATAATAAATTGTGGTGGCATTTATGAGCTAATGCTCTTAGTTTTCCAGCAAGCGCTATACTTATAAGATATTTTTTTAGCCAATAGGTACAAGAAGTTGCTTCCACTACCGTTTAACTGTAAATTGTAAACAAGAGCAGTCAGCGCAATGTTGATACACGATCGTACGTATTCGTGCGTGATTACATGCGACAGCATAGGTACATATGTATGTATGTGCGGGCTCAAATCGTTCCTGGAAAATGTTTTCATATTTACTTTCAACTCATTACGGTGGATATTGTTTTGTTTGTGTTATTCTTTGCCTTTCTCAGTTTTATTTATTTTTTCCTGCATTTAATACAAATAGCACATATTTCTTTGTTTTTATGTGAAATGTTTGTTTGTGTTGTTGCGCAAGTTTTGTTATCGGCCGACAAATGCTGCCACCATTGCTTGCGGAAGCTGCCATTCACAGCCACCAACTGACTGCAAACGCGGCAGGAAGATTTCACTAAATTGTTTTGCTGTTTTGCTGTTTCGCTCACTTCGCTGCTTTTGCTGTCACAAACTCTTTTCCAGCCACAACAGGCGTTGCCACTGTCATGCCACTGCTGTGCACCAGCGGTTTGCCCGAATGCACTTGTGTGCGTTTGCTTGTGCGCGATACGGATTTATGGAGTGTGCATTTGTTAAAATTCAGCTTGGCTGCTGTTGTCATTAAATTACCTATTTTTTATGATACATAAATTCTTTAAACTACCACAAAATGCGGCATTATACACACGCGCTGGCATTACAAAGCTTTATATTTTTAAAGCTGCTTTTAGATATAAGTAGACTTATGAAGATGAGTAAGTTAATCTGATATCTTGACTTTAACGAAATAAAATAGCCATTATTTATATGACAAAGATACAATGTTTAATATTATTATTTAATATAAAATATTGGTTCATGCCATCAAAAATTATTCCATTACTCAAATTGCAATCTTGACACAACTCCATATTTATACATTGAAGAGAGTATATTTAGTTTGACACGAAGTTTGTAACACCCACGAGCTGAGTCGATTTGGTCATATCCGTCTATCTGTATATTCGCAAACTAGTCCCTCAGATTCTGAGATATCGATCTGAACTTGCGCAGGTCCTTCTCTGATTCCTGATTTTTTCTTAACATCCCCCCAAAAGATGAGCATGTTAAAAAAATATAATCCACGGATAGCATGTTGGAACAGAAAAAACAACACTATATTAAGTTTTTGGTGATAATAAGTCATGGCTGATAAGTGCCTGATCTACTCCCAAACGTAATAAAGTAAGAAGTGTTTAGGGATAAAATACTTCTTGAAACGCTATATATATTGTGAGGTAATGAACAGAAACATTTTTATACTCTCGCAACCTCTTGCTACAGAGTATAATAGGTTTGTTCACCTAACGGTTGTTTGTATATATATATATATATAGGGTTATATATATATAAATGATCAGGATGAAGAGCCGAGTTGAAATCCAGGTGACTGTCTGTCCGTCCGTGCAAGCTGTAACTTGAGTAAAAATTGAGATATCTTTATGAAACTTAGTAGACATGTTTCTTGGTACCATGAGACGGTTGGTGTTGCAGATGGGCGTAATCGGACCACTGCCACGCCCAGAAAACGCCATTAATCAAAAACAAATAAATTGCCATAACTAAGCTCCGCAATAAGATACAAGACTGTTATTTGGTATATTATAATATATAGTTAGGGAGGGGCATCTGCAGTTAAAATAAAAAGTGGCCGTGGTCCCGCCCCTAATAGGTTTAATGTACATATCTCCTAAACCGCTAATTATAAATAAACCGCTATACTAACAAAATTCACTGGAAACAAATGTTTTTAGCACTTCCATTGACGGTGTGAAAATAGTTGAAATCGGGTGGCAACTCTGCCCACCCCATATATAACGGTTCTGTTAAAAACTACTAAAAGCGCGATAAATCAAGCACTAAACACGCCAGAGACATTCAATTTTATCTCTGGGATGGTATGGGATGACTTTTTAGGAACCGCGTTCAAAATTACTTGGGATTTGCTTAACCGATTTCAACAAAATTCGGTGCATAACGTTCTTTTATATTTCTATATCATAGTGCGAAAATGGTCGAAATCGGACTACAACCACACCGATTTCCCATATAACACCATTTTCAATTCCATCTGATTCTTTCACTTTCCACTATGCATATCAAGCAACAATGATTATATCGGGGTAAAACTTAGCGTGAATAATACGTTTAAAGTATGCCACCTTGTGACGAAAATTGTCTAAATCGAAGCAAAACTGTTCAAGCCCCTAAGTACTAAATATGTGGACGCCACTGCCTATAGTTGACCTTCTACCGAAAATATCAGCCAATCCACAAAAATCCACAAAGAAATCTCAAACGAGTATACCATTTGACTTTGCGAGAATATAAAATGTTCGGCTACATCCGAACTTAGCCCTTCCTTACTTGTTTTAGTTTTAATTTTTCTCTTAAAGAGCCTTTTGCAAAATCGGATGGACTTCACAGACTAAAATATACAAGGATTTTATCTCCCCATTTTACATACTTGTAAATAAGTATATACATATTGCTATTTTTAGTTACAGTCACAAACCGTAATGCCCTGTCATATTTCATTTTAACGAGCGGCATAAGTGTTAATTTAATTTCTTCCATTTGCAACAATGGGCATGTTAAAAACTTTGGAGTCAAATATTCAGATGTGGTGAAAATTTGAATTATGATTTATGTACATAAAAAAGAACTGAGTTATAGCATGAACTTATACTTCCACTTGTTATTTAAAATGTGAAAAGTTTTTTGCATGTGGAGATTTATTTTGTTCATTATACGCAGTGTATGCCCCTATTTTTTACTGCTAATGTAAAATGTGTGCTGGAGATATTAGTTTTTTTAAAACATCATATTTTCTAATGTCGATATCTGGTAATATTAATGTGTATTAAAATTAAGTAAAATTAGTATAGCTCAGAGTGCTTATGTAATAAGGAAGGAAGGTTACATTCAATTTCGACAAATAAGCAATGCATTTATGAATGTATATACTTTCGAAAGCTTTGTAACTGTATTGTTTTCGTACTTATTATTTTCGGCAAAGTCCAATATCCTAAAATAATATGAAATTTTAGAATTTGAGAGTAACACCGTTTCAGATTGTCCCTTGAATCGATGTCTTGTTAATCAATGTTCATAACACATGGCACAAAATTTGATCTAACGGTCACCCAACAAAGTTTATCGAAATTTCACGATGTTTTCTAGTGTTACTGCGGCTTGTACTTATTTATTTTGACAATTTAGTTTATCCCTTTCTATGAAAATTCCATTCTTTGAGTGAATTTACGTACTTGCCTAATCATAAACCAACCTGGAACAGCTTAAAACGATCCATACTAGCATATGGGTCATACATGTATCATAAAGTAACCATTTTTAATTCAAGAATCGAAATAAAGTCATAATTTTTAATTATCCATACATAATACCTTTAAAATTTAGGATATATTTATAGCAAAATATTCAACTTTATTTTTCTCTCTTTTTCAGGCGCCATATTTGAGCAGGGCACCGATGAGGTGCAATCTGCGTTTAAATACGCAATGCTCAATCACAATCTCAACGTATCGTCACGCCGTTTCGAGCTGCAGGCATACGTGGATGTCATCAATACGGCGGATGCATTTAAATTGTCACGCTTAAGTACGTCGAAGCGAAAAGTATACCCTACATATTCATATGCATGCACAAAAACACACTTATCAATGTTTAATACGTATTTGAGCAGAACACGTGACTGCAGCATGGTGGCCTTGTGCGGCAACTGTGGATGTGGCAAGCGCACGCGCGTGCGAATGTGTGTCATACGCTCGTTGATTGCCGCAAGCGCGCTGCGGCTGTCAATGCTATTGATGCTGCTACTACTGCTCTTGCTACTGCTGCTGCTGCTGTTGCTGTTGCTGTTGCTGTCACCATGCTGCTGATTAATTATGCACATTTTCCCGATTTAAACAGCAAAATCCCCCATTCACATAAATTTACGCAACATCCTCAACAAAATTCACAGTCATACACGCATACATTTACACACATTTCAGTTACAATACATAAACAATTTTTAATTATTTGCTTTTGTTTCTCTTCTATTCTCATATTTAATGCTGCAACATATCGTGACTCAACATTCGCATCAACACTTTTTCCTATGCACGCGTTTGCGCCTCACAGTATGCAATCAATTTTCGCGTGGCGTTTATTCCATGTTGGGCGCTGTATCACCGGATTCATTTGATACATTGCACTCGTACAGCAATACGTTTCAAATGCCTTTCGTGACGCCATGGTTTCCAGAGAAAGTAAGCCGGAATTCCACACTAGTTATATTACATAAAATCAACAAAAAATTTACAAAAAAAAAATTTAACTATAAAAATACATAAAAACACATAAACAATGCAAATATGCAAAGCAAAAAAGTATGTGGCAACGCGAATATTTGAAATGGCAAAAAAGTGTGACAGCACTGTGCAAACTAACTTTTTTAACACTTAAACAAACACTAACACATTTGCACACTCACATACATATATGTGTGTGCACACAGATAAATAATAAACGTGGTATTTTCATGAAAATATCGATAGTCAAGCACTGCAGCTGCCGTTGTGCCATTTTTACCAACGCACTTGACTTGCTGCCATTGTTTTTTCTGTCGTTTTTCACTTTTCGCGTGGCTTTGTGTTGAGGGTTTTGTATTTGTTGCAACTTTATATGCGAAGCGGATTTTTTGCGGCATATTGTCTCTACCGAAATGTGTTAAGTGTGCAGTTGCTCGAGTGGTTGAGTGCAACAAAAACTAGTAGCAGAAATACGAATATATATTTATATATGAACCGTTATATATTCAGCCATATATATATGTATATTCTGCAAACCCGAATTTTCCACTCATGGCGTTGAAATAACAAGTGCCACTATAACAAAGGCTTTTACGATTTAGATTTAAAATCAGTTTCTCACTCGTTTTAACTCAACAAAAGCACATTCATATCAATGTCCCTCTAAACAATTTAAAATAAATACAAAGCACACTATTTTCACACTACAATGCATTTAATTGAGATACGTTTAGAAGCATATGGAACAAAAAAAATTAAATACGCAAAAATAACAAAAAACAATAAAATAAAGTATGCTTTTATTACTTTACATGGTTTTTACCGTTTTATTATACCATGAGCAGGGTACCTTTAGTTTGTTACAAAATTTCTAACAACCAGAAGGAAACATCGGAAACCGTACAAAATGTATATATTAGGAAAAGTAAAAGGTTCGTTCGGGTTTTTATTGATTTTTCAAAAGATGATAACTTTGTATACATTTGTCCGATTTAAGTCAAATATGCGCCGTTTTGTTCGTAAACTTGTTGCCAACGAGATGCCAACTTCATTATACCCCTCTCGTGGAAGGCTGCGTCCCTATTGACAAAAAACTCGGAGAGCCAATTTTCACAGGCCTCTCTTGAGGTTAACTTCTCACCACTAAGCGCGCTCGCCATGGACAGGAAAAGATGGTAATCACTTGGTGCCCGGTCCGGACTATAAGGTGGGTGCAGTAGAACCTCCCATCCGAGCTCCAGGAGCTTCTGGCGAGCCACCAAAGACGTGTGTGACCTGGCGTTGTCCTGATGGAACACAATTCGGCCTCTGTTGATAAAAGATGGCCTCTTCTGGATGAGTGCTGCCTGCAAGCGGTCCAGTTGTTGGCAGTAGAGGGCCGAATTGAGCGTTTGGCCATAAGGAAGCAGCTCGTAGTAGATGATTCCTTGCCAATCCCACCAAACACACAGCAAAACCTTCCGGTCTTGGCCACCGTCTGGGCTGCTTCCCCGAGCTTTAACCACGACCGTTTGCGCTCGATGTTGTCATAAGTGACCCATTTTTCATCGCTAGTCACAATCATCTTCAGGAAAAGGTCGATTTTGTTGTGATTCAGCGGCGATTCGCAGAAGGAAATTCGGTCCATTATGTTTTTTTGCGTTAGTTTCTGTGGCACCCAAACATCGAGCACCTTTTTGAATCAAAGGTTATGCAAATGGTTCCAAACGGTTTTCTGGCTTATCTTTAGTTCCTCAGCAATTAAATAAGTGCTCACGTGACGGTCTGTTTCCACTATTTCCATGATTTTATCGCAATTTTCGACGACAGGCCTCCCGAAGCGTGGTTCATCTTTGACACCGAAATTACCGGAACGGAACCTAGCAAATCACTTTTGTGCTACACGTTCATTTACAGTATCGGGCCCATAAACTAAATTAATGTTTTCAGCCGCTTTGGCTGCTTTTTCGCTTTGATCGAAGAAAAATTGTAAAATATAGCGAATTTTCTCTTTGTTGGTGTCCATCTTTGACGAGCGCTCACAACGTACTGAGTCAATCAATCGAAAAACTGTCAAAGATAAACTTTTAGCGCGAATAAACACGTTTTCAGCGCCGTATAGTATGACATGACAGTAACGCCATCTCTTAGATAAAAACCGAACGAACTTTTTACTGGATAATATATGGTATAACTAGAAGTGCGAATATATTTGTATATATTTGGTACATATATGGAGCTAGGGGAAGTAGTGCACCAATTCAACCCATTTTTGCCACAAGGGTATACTATTATCAATTAAAGATTATCCCTGTCATCTAAGTACGGAGATATGTGATTTCACCTAAACGTGGGCGGTGCGTCCGATTTGAACCCCGGCTCCTATAAAACCCTCATGTATCATCTTGCGGATAAAATTTAACGTTCATGACCCTTTTAGTTGTGATTAATCGCACTTTTAGTAAATAGTTTTTAGCGAACTCGGTTTATTATTCGGTTTTATTCATTTTCACACTGTCTGCAAGAGTTCTTAAACAAAGTTGTCCTTCGTTGTTGCTATAAGAATTGCGCAATCATTAAACAAATTTTGTGAATGCTAGGAAGAGTACCAGGGAATTATTTTTTTAAGACTGTCTTCACTACAAATGTTTCAACTATAATTTTTCATACATCTCAACGCAAAATGGTGCCAAATCGCTGAACTGAAGCGCTCTGTGCGTTTGCTGGAACAATTTTGATTTTATACTGAGCAGAATCGACAGCTGTTCCTTAAAAAAAGTATACACCTCTGAGATAATGAATATATGAAGAAAGATATCGATACTAAGTAGTTAGATGCCTTAATTTAAATAATTATAAAAGCCTTTGTTTCTACTCGCATTATAAATTTTTCAGGCATGTCTAAAATTAAATTTTAAAAATGTTTAGTCTTCGGACAAAGAGGGCCCAACATAGATATTGAAGAAGCTATCGATACACATTTTGAACTGAGACACTCTATACATTTCTTTATTAATCTGGGTGTCAACAAAACTGACTATCTGAAGCTGCGCTTAATGTAATAATGACTTAAGAGTTCAAGTTATGAACGAAAATCGAAAAAAATTTTCTCTGAGTGGAACATTAGTTAAACATCTGCTCTTTTTATCTCGCCTTAAATACAATATATTTAACAATGTTCTGTTTTATTACATTAAATTTATGTTGTGCACATAAATTTTATTTAATCATATTTTTATTAAATGTTAATCATACGCCTCAGTGGTAATAAAGCAGATTTTAACTAAAACAATAAAGATGTCGCGATTTGATGGAGCGTACGCTATCTGTATTGAAAAAGAACAGCACACAAAGCGCCTGCAACTATGTTGGAAGCGACAAAAAACTGTGGACAAAGGCCTGCGATAACAGTAAACCGTTTCCGAAAATTTATGAAATGCTTAATAAAGTTATAAATGTCCAAAACTGTACGCAGCATACAAATCATAATAAATTCAGCTTTTATTTCGTTTCATACAAGCATAAAGACAACACCCCAAAACACCCATACTGAAAATCCCGTAACCTAACGAACCAGTAACATGTTTAAAGAGCATATAATATTCCGTCGTGTCGAAAACCTCAGTTATATGAGTACAACAACATCAACACCAACGGCTGCTTAAACTGCTAAAGTAATAGTGGTCTGTCGGCCCTGTGGGCTATGGCATGACGGGTCTTTGGAACAGCTGTGGGCAGTTACTATGCTTATAGAAATTACATAAATATTTACTAACAGTCTACTGTATACTCCACTACATACACAGATTTAATAGAATGCTTTCGAATTTGTGATGGGAGATCTGCATATCTTCACAAATACAGCTTTGTTTATAAGAGAAATTTCTGTTGACGAAATCTTATTCAGAGAAATTCGTCACGCTGAAAGACAACTGACATTTGCATTAGCTAATTCCTTAATCTTTCATATTTCTTAGCAGCACAGTGCTCATCACATTTCGAACCATGAAATTTCGTCACTACAGCACAAACACACTGCAGTGTAGAAGTTGGCCCTAAGCCGCTGTTATTACAATCACCATAAATCATTCAACAAAAGCAAAGCAATGAGGCAACTGAAACATAAAAAAAATATATTTTTTTTTACATGAAACAAGATAAATAAATGTGTATACAATATCCGCAAAAAATTACATTTTATAAGTGTGTGTGCGTAATCGCGCTGTAGTTTCACGGAGGCAGATATACTCTTTGATGACTCCCACCTCCGGCTACGGCACTTACTCACTCTGCTGCCACAACTTTTATGCGCCGCCAATTGCCGTTTTTGCGCACACTCGCCACCCGCCACCGTCACGATTTCAATTCACACTACAATTTACTTTTGTTTCTTTTTTTCCATACCTAATTTTACTGTGCCGTCATTTCGGATACGCTTGCACGCGGCTGCTAGGTGCTGACGCCCTCATCCGGTTTCCTGGACTATGCCATAAGTATGCGCCCGGATTATCATCAGGCGATTATCGATACAATACAGTTTTATGGATGGCGTAAAATAATTTATCTCTACGACTCACATGATGGTAAGTACGAAATGCTTTAATAAAAAAATTACGTAAAATATAAAAAATGTACATAAATTGTTGATACGTATATTAACAGTTACATAGTCGCAAGTACGAAATAATTTTTCACAAGCCGTTAACCCACTGACATTGTTCACTCAGTTTGTTCATACCAAATGCGTGAACTGTATATTTATGATAGACAGTAATTTGTCAAGTCTGCTGTTACAGCGAACATAAATTTGCTTATGCATCGCTAAATTTATGTATTAATGTAAATGAACCTTTATTGTTGAGTAAACATTAAACCATCATCAAGCTTCATAATGCAGCGCTGTGGTGACATAAATGTTCTACACACATATACACAGTTCGATAAATAAAATGCTTTTACTGTATGAGTAGAAGTGTGTGCTTTAGACAATTTATTGTATGTACTTTTATTGCTTACAACTAAAATGATGCAAATCTGTTGAGTCACGTTCGTGAACTTTGTTAAGAAAATGTTACTTATACGCATAGTCCTACATATCACAATTCTGTAAACTCAGCTATGAATTTAATCTTATGTAACATCAAGTACATTGAATCAATTTTTGAAATAATTTAGGTGCCAGTACTGAATCTTTTCTATGCTTTGCAAAGTCAGATCTTTGATCAGCTTTTTATTTCATAATTTTCTGTTTCTGTTGTGAGAATACAAATAACAAAAATTTCGTTCATTAAGAAGTAAACATAAGGACCAGGTTTCGAAATAAAAGCTTCTATTGCGGTCTTTCAGGCAACTGCATTTTGTTTTGTTTTGAAGTTTTAAAATTAATTATTATCGATATCAGCGCAATCCGTCAAAAAAAGTTTGGGTTGAAGTGTTGTCAAATTTCAACTTTTTTATGGTATTAGAGTTTTCAACTCTGCGCCAGTGGCGTTGAATATCAAAACACTTTAACTGCTTGGTAGCAGTTGTAGTTGGACATTACTGTGTTTATGTTAGATAAATACTAACAGAAAATGTATAACGGCTAAATAAAGTATTTGATATATAGTTTTAAACTATTTTAATCAATTATTTTGTACAAATACTTACATACATAGAAAGTTGAAAAAATTGTTGAGCCTTAGGAGAAAAAACGAAAGTAAACGAGGCAAGCTACAATTTGGAAACAGTAAAAATAACAATAAGGACCGTGTGCTTCGAACAAAAATAGTCATTACAATATATTAAGAATATACTTCTCGAGTAAAATTAAATTTTTAGACGCTGTGCTCTCTTCGGTGTTCATCATATTTAAAACCTATTTAGCAACAGCAGACATCGTAGTCTGCGCCTGCCTAAAGTTAAAATTATTGAATCTGCAATTTGGTAACTACCGTCAGCAAGAAAACGGAAACTGTGTAGTAAGGTTCCTTAATCTCATTTAGTAGAAAACAAATTGATTCATTATTTAAAGGAAAATATATAATGAATATGCAACAATTTTAAAACCCATTCAATTGTCAATAAAACGTTGGCTTGCTTGGAGTAAGGAGGATCCAAACTTTTTGAGTGATAACGAAGGTTTCCTCTTATACGCAGCAAATCTGTTTTGGCACCAATATTTTTAGCTGTTTAATTATCGGCACAATCTGCACTTTTTAGGTTGGTAAAACCTATGAAGTTTCAACTGAAAATAATTACAGTTCGTAATACCAAAAAAACGTTGATTGATCTAAAGTTGAATTACACAATCCTTCAATTCAACTGATTCGAGTTGAAACCCGTAATAGGGATAATAATTGTCACTAATAGATATGAAATCATACGTTCTATGCCATTGTTGTGGGTTTATTTTGTATCTTATTTTAAACAAAACTTAACCGACTTGTTCGGGCATTGTTGAGTAAAAGTTTACATTTGGCCATTTGCACCGAAAATTCATATGCAGATGATTACTCTAAACTTCTACTAGCACTTTTTGTTCATTTTTATATAAAAGTGTATTCTTTAGAATCGATAAATAAAACATGGATTGCTGTTTGCAATGGTCACATTAAAGAGAGGAAATATCTTACTTTGTTTTCAATGCTAGATATAGGTATAACCAAAGCAGAAGTTAAAAATTTAAATGCAATGCACAAAATATTATAAAAGTCAATACAATACCCCATCGTATGGGTAGTAGTATCAGAATGCAACTTAAAATAGTTATTTTTTGATAAAATATTTTAATAAGTGAAGTTATAATTCCTAAGCTTTTTGTGAATTTCTTATCAATAAACATTTTACTGTAAGAAGGCGATACATTTAGGCATTGGTTTTAGTTTGGTGTATACGAGGTCTGTTCAAACATAAGGTGAATTTTCAAATTCCACCGGCTGCGTACTTTCGATTATCGATTTTTATTTTGTTATGTAGGCACACTTGTCTCAAAATAAAATTTGATGAAGAAAAAAATATCGTTTGAGAAAAATTAAAGTTCACCTTAATTATTTAACAGACCTGGTACAGCTCAAAAATACATACCATATACTTTGGATTATCCAAATAACAGAGTTCTTGAAACTGACTCTAGTATCGCCTTTTAAGTTGTGTTTACTAACAGATAAGTGCTACCAAAATTCTGGGAAATTTACCGATGATCAACAGTACATAGTTAGAGTCTTAGAATCGGAAGCTTCAATTTATTTCTAGAGTCAGCGCAGCTTATCCTTGTTTGGTTCTTAACCAGTGATAAACTATATACCTCTATTGTCATTTATTACGAGTTTGAAAGTGTAATTTTTAGTTCATGCATAATCTAACAACTATGTTTGTATTAGGATAATTTAAACTTAGCATTAAAATAAAGTTTAAAGATACCATAATATGTGTTTAACTTTTTAGATCAATACATTTAAAGTTTTCTCCGAAAAACTTCTGGAAAATTCACTTTCATTCGGCCTTCTTACTGTATATAACCCCTTAAAAAAGCAAATACATACATATACATATACCAAACTAGTGTTTGAAACTTTATATCCAGAAATATCAAATGCTTAGTTGTAAAAGTCAAAGCAACAATTTGTTTCATGTCATTATTTTATTCCCTTTACATTCTCAAAACTCGAACTTTTCTTTCTAACCACTGTTATTTTTTCTCCGATTGCTTTCTCATAAATAAAGCTAAATAAATACAATATTAATTACCACTATTAATGAATTCAAAGGATTGATGCAGAATTCTTTTGATTAAATTAAAAATTTATTAAATCTGTCATATTTAATTTAAATAACCACTATAAATTGACTTTCCAAAATTCCGCAACATTTCAAGAACAAAATTAAATATTCCATATTCTTATTTGACTTACATTTTATGTAAATAAAAGTTTGATTATTTTAACAAATATATTTTTATTAAGAAAACTAACAAATTTGCCAAGTAAGAAAAAATTCACTGTGAAATCATTTGTCATACATGCCCGCAGCCATTGGAGCACTGAAGAGGAAAACCGAGTAAGAGATTGTGCGCAAGTATATATATTCTTGTATATAACCTTGTATATACTGTGCATATATCGAAGTTGGAATATAATATTATATAGGCGTGTAATATTTCCACCATTTGAGGGTGTGCTGTTAGAAATTTTGGGAAGCAAAATTTTGACCGCAACCCAAATTGCCTACGGGGTGGTCGTTCTCCTGATAACGGTGGCAAAAGCAATCAATGAAATTGCTGTTTGTTTCAGAAGAACATCACATAAGTACACATTTATGGATACATGTATGTACATAAAATAAATATGGTTGTTATACATAACATCAGAAATAAATTGCAATTTAGTTTTGTAGTCGTCAGTTGTTCTTATAACCTAACTGTGTGTATACTTGTTTGTAATATTTCAAATGGAAGTTGCTTGAGGTGTAAAAATGCCATACAAGTCGGTTTCCCTTTGTTGCTGCTAATAGCTGATATTTATTTTTACTTTTATTATTGTATATTTTGAAGTTGTTAACGCATACCTACCGTTCACTTGTTATTAAAATCTCTTAAATCTACTTTTCCCATTGTTTACCGAATAAATACAGACTTTCTACACTACAATCTTGATTCAGCAGGTGCTGAATATGAGTTTCCTTAGTCTCCTTTCCATTTACTCTAACTTCAAGCATGTTTTAAGACCTTTCGATGTTCCAATTAATATTTAATAAAATTTTTAAAAGCTCGTTATCGAACTCTCTTTTCATGTACTGATATAGCGGAAAAAGCGAAAAGAACTTGTTGAGGTTAAAACAGTCTAGAGTACAAAAAGTCTTAATTTTTACGATGAATTCTGGAGTAAGGAAAACGAAATCGAATTTCCTTCTCTTATGCTTAGTTAAACATGTAAATGTATATAATTTAAATTTTCTTTTATTATTGTAATATACAACTTACTATCAAAGAATGGTTGTGTTTGGCTTTTCTTCTCAAGTTGGTGGACTTGTAAAAAATAGGTTGAAATTTTTACCGAAAATATGATCAACAAAGTGTTTTTAAAAATATATAATGTAACTATGAAGCTATAAGTTAAGTGCGATAAGCTGCGAATACTATTCCCCTGATTTAAAACGAAAAAGCAACAGTTTGAAAGAAAGTCAAGTACAATTTTAAGCGCCCAAGCTGACTGTCCTCCACTACCTCGACACTACAGCGGATTGAACAAAGAACTTTTTTTAAACTATTTTCCCAACTGAATAAAATTTTTAAGACGATAAAATTTTCTTTAAGCCAAAGAAAATTTAATTTAATATTAATATTAAGATACCCTAAATTACATTGCTCATAAATGTTCCATCTGCTAGATAGAAGTATTTAAATTAAGATCATCCGCATTCATATGAAGCATATGTCTAGCTTTTAGGCAGTTTAGTCAAGTTTCCAAATTTCTCTCAAATGCTATTGTTTCCATATTTTAATAAATAAAAAAAAAATCTTATTTAAAGTACGAATTATTTTAAAATGAAAAATAATATTTACATGTGTGTGCAAATAACAAACACAAATTGCAAACGAAAATAA